TGGAACTACTCAAAATTCATAACTAAAATGTGCTGTCAATTCAATAGTAACTTCCTGTAGTTAAGCCACATTATACAACAGCATTAAATGTAATATTAAATATATATGTATTTAGTTGATTAAAGAGTCTGTATTCCCACAGATCCAGAGTAATTTAAGATAGTTTAGGAAGCATTGAAGATGGGTTTCTTACATCAAATGATTTCTGATATCAGTGGAGCCAAGTACACCTTATTCATATTCATTGTATTGGGAATCTGCTTCACCTTAGCATTCACCTACCTATTGAAGTGGTGTAGTAAAACTGTTATTTGGTTCATCATCTTTATAATCGTTGTGTTGTCCATCTTCTTTGGCTATTATAGTTATTTATAATATAAGGCAGCGTAATAACTATATCTATCCAAATAGATCAAGCATGACCATTGGTTTATCACCTACTGGATATCTATTATAAGCTATTATTTGGTGGTGTTTTGGATTGGGTACAATAATCTTGACAATTTGTTTCTACAAAAGAATCAATCTAGCCATAGCCATCATCAAGTCAGCCTCTGATTTTGTCACTAAAAATGTCAGTATTGTCATTGTTCCTGTATTCTCAACTATTGCCACTCTAATTTTAACTGTTATTTTTATCTACATTGCATTGTAATTATACTACTAAAATTAGTATAATATGTTCAACTGGTACACCTGGAGATAAGTAATAGCAATGGCCATTTGGATAATTGAAATATACATTGTTTGAATATTTTAGTGGATTCTATTTGCTGTTTGCCACTTTTTGGACATATGCATTAATTATTGGAGTCAATAGCTTTATCATAGCAGGTTCAGTATGTGTATGGTATTGGTAACAAGGGAAGAGTGGTTAGGAACATGTTTAACCACTCAATTCATCATGGAAAAGATGTTTTGTCTATCATTTTGGTTCAATAGTACTTGGAGCATTATTATTGGGATTGATCTCAATATTTAGATCCTTCTTTGAATATCTATATGTATTTCATACTCATATAATTAAAATAGAGAAATGCTGAATACATGAGAACAACTGATGGCTGTCAATTTTGTTTTAAGTGTTGTGCATGTTGCATATGGTGTTTCGAAAGGTTCTTACAATATTTGAATCAGAATATCTATGTCTAAATTAACATGACTGGAGATGGCTTCTTTCATGCTGCCAAAAAAGGCCTAGATATTATGTCTAATAATCCTTCAATTGTTATGTAGGTTGTGGGTTTGGGAGATTTAATAAACAATATCGCAAGAATCATGATTACATTATCAATCTCTATGTTCTTTTTTAGATCCATTTCAGAATTACCTCAATTTCTGTTTGGAGGTATTGTCATTAATCCTTATAATCCAACATTATTATTGGCAATCATTGTTTTTGTCATTGCCACTGTCTTTACAAACATATTTGGAGTGGCCATTGAAAGCATACTCCATTTATATTGTATTGATTAGGAAATAGCCAGGGCCAAATCTGGTTCAGAAGATGCTGAAATGTGTCCTGCGGTATGATTTATTATATATTATAATTTAGGCTTTAAGAGAATTTTTAAATGACAAGGTATTTACATAATAAAAATGAAATATTAATAAAGTATTCATAAATAAAACAATGAGTAATTTTATTTAAATTAACAATCAAGAGCATATGTAATTAAAAAGCAATATAATTACATTCTAGAATTATTAAAAACTTTAACTAAATTAAAATACACAATATAATTCAAGAGGCTTTGATATATGAAGCAGCCTTTTATAATAAACCTCCTGATTTCTTCTTTTCCGTTTGTTCATCCAAGTACTTCTGCATCTTTTCTACTCTTTCATTAACATCACCAAGAACCACCCAACAAGCATTACATTTCTCTAATGATTAAATTGTAATCTATACCTTTGACCTGTCTGACAGTATCATTGACTCTTGTATCATTTAATTCCTATTTGAGTTAATATATTTTGTCATCAAATTGCGATAGTAATTCTAATGTATATCAATAACTTATCATACTCGCTTAAATGTCATCCGAAGTATTAAATATCTACAATGTCTATTTCAATTGAGCTCTAATGATATGAGTATAATCTTACTATGTATCCATCAATAAACTGATCATATTGTCATGATTCTGTAATTTTTTTCTCACTCTATCAATTTCTTCTGTTTCTATCTACTTACTATTTTCAATAACTTTTTCTGATACTCCCACACTCCTCATTACTGGAGTAAACTGATTGTAAACGTAATATTTACTTGATTAAAACTTTTGATGACTAGTTCTTTGATCTTAGCCAAATCCGATTCTAATTGATCAATCTATTATTTAATGGGTTCAACCAATTCATTACAAGTGATCTTGGCCACTTCTGTAAAGATGTTAGCTATGCTTGTCATCAATTTCTCTTTCTCAACCAATTTATCAATGATACATTCATTATGATGATGAAAGTACCCTTTTTATTATTATTGTTGTGCTTTCTTGCTTAAATACTAGGTCTACATAAAATAAAGTACTTTATCTACTGCAGTCTCTACTTTCTCTTCAAACTCCTTTTCAGTATACTTTTTCATATTTTGTATATCGAATGAATAGTTTAAAAAACAAAGAAAATATTTATTAGATATTCAATTGATTTATGAACATATTTATTTTTATTGAACAAAACTCACATAATTTCTGGATGAATTAAGATCATAAGATCCACTTGATTTGAATTTCAATCTACGTCTGTCAATCGATTAATTGTTACTAGTATTATTGACTTCGTTTGGAGGAAGAATTTTTGATTCATATTACTTTGAAACATTCCTATAAGATGCTTAAATGACCTTTTAAATCTATTTCGCTTTCTTTTCTGGATTCTCTGATTTGAAAGCCTATTAATACATTAAAGATAAGACAAGGTTATCCTTATTTACTCTAGGAAGTGTGCTAAGAGTGTCAAAAACTATTTATAAAGGAGTATTTTATGGGATATGAAGTGATGGTAATTACCCATAAGAGGGAATAACATTATCAGTCTTAACCACAGGCTAAGATGAACGAGTTGTTAATGAATTGAATTCTGTGCTGTTTTCACTCAAAATATCTGCTTGTGTTTTAATTGTGAATGGATTTCTAATACAATTTTCATCGTGAGATTATTAAACAGCTTGAGGCTTCTTTAATAATCGAGCTTAATATTATTGCAACGTATTGCTGTATACTTTCTATAACACACTTTAATTTTGAGTATTAACTATTTTGATATTCCTTAAATCTTCATCTGTTATGTTCTGCAATAATTTCACTTATGACAACTTCTATCCTTAAGATTCCACCAATTTCTTATTAAGAATATGCTTGGCCTTAAAATTTGGTTTATTTTATTAGACATCCTAAGCAGCCTTATAGATCTGATAATAATAATATAATATACTTCGTCCAATTGATGAATTGTCTATTAAGCAGCTTCACATCTATTTTACCAATGCTTATATATAATATTTGAATTCTTTTTCATAGTTTCAAAAATTTGATAATTACCTAAGTTATCAAAGAATTATCTCTTT